GTCGTGCATCCATTATTGTTATTAGTGACATTTAACAAAAAAAGGCTGAAAAATCCAGATATTAATTGCTAAATTTAGCCCCAAAACTCGGCAGCACACCCATTGGCTGACTAGTTTGATCCGCTGAAACACAAAATAACCTGAAGTAAATATATTATGAAGACATTTAAGCTGTAAAAGAATAAAAGTTCCACCTAGTGGCCGGCTGCAGCATAAGTTAGGGCTCACACCTGCCATGTAATCAAATAGGACATTTTTTTTCCGACTAAAATATTAAAAGCAAACATCTCTAACTATTTTTAGTATTTTATGTATGTAGTTCTCAGCTTAATGTTAGCAGATTCATTTTTCAAATATAATTAATTGTACTTAAATATTTGATGTCACACCTGTATACAGAGGAGTAGGAGGTACTTTCACCTCAGCATCGTACCAGACCAGACTCTGTTCCTAAAAATACAACAAGGCATTTAGAAAAATAGAGTGATGTAACTATCTAGAGTTGTATTTTAATACACTGCTAATGGGAAACTGTGATGTCACAATAACAGAGATGGGTGGGGACACTGCTTCCAGGTGACCTGATCGTAGATCAAGATGATTGGATCATTGTCTAATTCCAGGTCACACTTCTCCCATTATGTGAAAATAGGTTCTGTGAATGTGTAAACATGCATTTTCTTACTATTTAAAGGAAGACTGCTGCTTGGAATTGTTTTAGTCTTTGGACCATCTGCTTGACACTTCTTTACATTTAATTTAAAACAAATCAAGCTCGATCTTACTGCACCGTTTGCCGCTTCTGCTGCAATAATGTTCATCTTATTTCATGATTTTAAAAATGTAATTAGCAATCCCTTGAAGCAGCATTTTGAAAACTGACAATATTTTATACATATTTTAAAAAGTGCTTAGGTTAATTTGAACAACAAATCATGGTGTATATATGGTATGTGAGTTCAACTTTATCCACAGAAAACTTGATTCGTAATCTAGCAAAGCCTACCTCATCATACTGCACAGTATACAAACTATTGTACAACATGGATTCATTCAGCACAAAATTTTGTCACACATAATTATTCCTTTGAAATTCACATTCTCCCAGATGCAAATGCCTGCCCAGGCTCAATAACAAAATTGTGACACGCACCTGAGAACGGTTTAACTTGCCAAGACTGCGAGGAAAATTCCCAATGTCCCCGCTTTAATTACAACATTACCCAAACAGGTGCAGGCTGTTTGAAAGCAACAGTAAAGACCTGAGCTGAGATTCAGCAAAGCTGAGCTGCAGCACCTTGTAAATCACTCAAGTGTTGGTGGGCTCTAAACATTTAGAGTTAAGTAGCCCCTCCCTTCCGCCACTTCTGTTTGGAATTTTGTCCAAATAATTGGCGTGCAGTTAAATTGTCAAGTATTTGACAAAGAATGGAGTCACTTGTTATCGGCTTCAGGAAATACATTACATTTCTTTCTGACTGAGATTCAGAAGTCCTCAAAAAGAGTGCTGTCCATGGTGCTGAACAGCATCGGTTGTGGACAAATACAATACATGACAACTGTGACAAACTGCTTTAAATGTCTACATCTATTTTAGGAATTCTGCTTTGGTTCTTTTTTATCCTTACTTAATATACTTATGTAATAAAATAAGTTAAATTATTTCCAATTTTATTTAAATCAGAAAAATAAAACACCAACCATTGTGTATTTCTCCCTTTTTCTTTTCAGCACTATTAGAGGAAGTGCATCCACTGTGCAACACTTTATTCTGGAAATGGAATTTCAGGAATCCTGTTCCTAAGTGGGTTAATCTAAAGCAATTAGAGGGTTGAAATTTCCACTACGGAGTCTTGGGAAAAGATCAAACTGTTTTTCAAATTGATGGCAGTACTAGTTTCTTAATGTAGGGGAAACAAAACAAAGAGCTGTTCTGCACATATAGCTGGCTTGTGCTTTGATAGTGCTATGATCTAATTAGGACATCTTAAACATCTGTTGGGGCTTTGGCACCCTCAACAAGCCTTTCCTGGGTATCAAGTGTTTAAATATTCTACGATTAAGTCTCAGGCTGCTCTCAAAGACAGTGTTTATAGAGGAGAGGCGTGAAAATGGTCCATTGATCATAGAATGAAAGAAAAAGGCAGTGAATAATTTAGAAAATAATCTAATTATGTAGATAAACCAAACAGCAGTGTAGGCGTAGGCAAATAAGAGCATTTGTTTTGCCCATATGCTATTTTTTATGCATTTATGTTTGTTTGTAAATAAATGTGTTAAAATATCTTTAGCTTCACAGGAGAACAAGTATTTATGAACATTATCATATAGATTTGTACTTTTACTTTGAATTTGTATGATTTACCAACATATTTGAGTTCTGAGTTGGTGACAAGTCATCTCTCTTGAAGCTCCAACCACAATGATCATGCTCTTTGGTACACACACACACCTATAGAATTTGATAAAATCATTTTTTGATCAAATTTCGTGCGACAATTAATTGGCTTTTGTAAAGTAAATATAATTAACTGGAGCTGAGCGAAAGCAAGGGGCTTTTTATGCAGTAGCTAATAAAAAAGGTTTGCTAAAATTGCTTTCATGTGGTCTTAATCCACAAACAAGCTGTAATCTTTAGTGGTAATGACAAGAACTGAACCGTAGTTCAAACCCAGACACCTGATCGTATTTCAGATGAAAAGACATTGTTGGGAGCGGCATAGTTAATTAAAGCAAGGGCACGACTTTACAGCTGTCACATCACTTGGCAGTTCCTTTAATTATATATTTTGGTCAATCTGTTCATCCTGATGTGAGAGGGTATGCCATACATGAGACAACATCTGCTGAGATATGTCACAAGAGCTTCCAACATCTGTCCCTGCTTCCGCGCAGCGTGTCAATCACCCGAGCCACGTCTCATAAGCAGTCGTGTTATCATTTTGAGAAACTACATTCACAATACTGTCAAGCGCTGAGAGCTTACAGCTGGGCCGCCGTAACAATTAGCACTCTTCCACTAAGCAGCAAGTCGAGGCAGGAGTGCTGAGATTGGCACTACACAAAAAAACCCAGACACACCCTGTGGCTTGCAGTCATTTTGGTCCCTTATGCTGTCCGTCAAGCAGACAGTGGTGACTGTTCTCTAAACTGAGTCCACCCACAAAGGCTTGTGATCACCTAAGCTGTCAGCTAGCATATGTTGGAACTACCAACCAGTCAACTGTGAGGCTGGCTCCGAAGATATCTGCACAGAAAACATGTCACCTACACATGTTCTAAACTACATGACATGTGTTTTTTTTCCTCTATTTTTTACTAATTCTTTTTCATGAGGCAAACATTATCGGCTAAGTCTTGGAGTGTGTCAAACTGCTTTGTACCTGCGACACTGCAATGCAGGGAACATCTTGAGAGCTTGTGTTATCTCATGTTGGGTGAAAATAAACTGTGTATGTCAGCGTCAAATATTTTCAGTATGAAATAATAGCCATCCTTTGAGCACCACTGTGGCAACATGGATCTAGCACTGTTAGTTAGATCTGGTTGTTGTGTGATTCGCGACAACTCTGAAGTTCAATGAGTGAACTTCAGAGTTGTCAGTCATGTTGTGCTGCTAATCATATCCTCCTTCTGAGCCTGCTTGTTTGTTGTGGAAAGGCCCGGTGCTATGCTGCCTTTAGAGGTAGGCTTTCTTTGAAGTTATATGATGCAGGTTTTTACCTCCAACTGTCAGTGGGTGGTTTACTTTATTTTTTTTCTTTTTGTCTCAAACTCTATAAGGTTCACAACATTATTGCGCTATTACCTGAAAAAAGAGGGATCAGTTTCAAAAGCTCAAGAAAAGCAGAATAAATGAGGGGGATCAAGAAATCTAGACATTATAGCACAATTCAAGGATAACAGATATCCGTCTAATCCATTTCTGCACACACACACACACACACACACACACACACACACACACACACACACACACACACACACACACACACACACACACACACACACACACACACACACACACACACACACACACACACACACACACACACACACACAGTTACACTTGTTAAGTCCAACACAAACACCCACTTTGTCGCAAATGACACAGAAACCTAAAGATACACTAGCTCTCCATTCCTAGACTCTACATTTCGTCTGTAATCTCCCTCTGAGTCTAATAATTTCTCTGTTTCCATGGCGATTTGAGTCTTGCCAGATGTCGTGGAGATAAGAGGAGATAAGAGCATAAGGAGCAGGAAGATAAGAGCAAGTGACCTGCCGAGATCAGAGCACTGGAGGTCAGGCAGGAAAGCGGAAGTAAGTAACAGAAAAATAGACCTTGCCGGCTCAACCCCACTGCCAAACCAATGGAAAAAAATATATATATGACAAGCCATCACCGTCCTCCGGCAGCACAACAAACGAACAAATACTCCCTGTGCTCAATTTTAACCCATGAAAGCCCAGCTGCATGTCCCTGCAGAGGATACCAAAGGACTGCTATTTTGTTTTGGTCCCTAAACATAAACATAAATCCTATGTGCTACATTTAACATTTTCATTCAGTTTAAACATTTAGTATACTCCAAATATGGAGCAGATATCACTTCTCTTTTTTTGTGTCACATTTAGAATAAAACATACAATATGCTGAGGAACCAGTAACAAGTCTACAATACATTTTGGAACATCATTTCATTTTTGCTATTGAGAATAATGGGAATGTAACATGTGCCATTGAAATTACTATAACAGGCTCATGTGTTACAGTCAATGAAGTAAATCCTAGTAAATTATTGCTGACAGTGAAAGTGAGAGCTGCTTAGTGTAAAAGCTGTTTTAAATGTCATTGTACACAATAAGAACAACTATATATATGTGATGAGGTTTTACTATCCCTGTTTATTACCTTTAAACAATACATCACACTAATCATTTGCTTCTCTTAACGCAAAATCAAGACAGGAAACATGTTTTATTAGAGCTGACATTACCTGTTTGTTGCTGTACTTGGGCTGATTGGTCCTGTAGCTGTAATCGGAGTACTGGTCCGAGCCAGTGGAGTTGTCGTCCCCTCCTGTTCCGACAAAGGTGTTGGCTGCAGGAAGGTCCTGGACAGCTTGGTGCTTCTGAGATGCTGAGGGGGACTGGGCTTGCAGCTGGATGGAAGGTAGAGGGGAGTTGGAGCGGTAGTGCCTGCCTATATCAGGACTTCCTGGTGAATATGTTAAGGGCAGGTGAATCCTGGGGCTATCGTTGACTCCATCAAGATTAAACTTCAGACTCTTTTGCAGGCTGACCTCCTCGTCTTCCCCGAGGGGTTTGGGGCACTTCTGGGGTTTGCCTTTCCGTCCGCGTTTGCCTTTGGCATTTTTTGGTGCCTGCTTGGGTGCGTATAAGTCCTTTGTTTCCTTTTTGCCTGCCTGATAGCCACTTTTTGTTTCTCTTTGGATACGGTGGCGAATAAACACCACCACCAGGATCAACATTACAACTCCTGCTACTCCTGCAAGACTTCCAAACAAAATGTTACTGCGGTGTGCAGCAAAACCACTGTCAGGGTCACCAGCAATGTCTCGATCCAGTGGGGTGTAAAGACTGTGTCCAACTAAGCCTTCCACTAAACTGACATTTGAAATGGTTTCATTAACATATATATGAACCAAAGCAGTGGCATGGCGTTGAGGTTTCCCCCTGTCACTCACCCGCACCACTAGGCGATGTAGCCCACTATGCTTGCGTGTCATTTCCTTGGCCAGAGTGATCTCTCCGCTGGAGGGGGAGATGCGAAATAATTGGTAGGGATTTCCCCCAGCAATATTGAACACCAGCTCTGCATTAGGCCCACTGTCCAGATCTTCAGCTTCTACAATCTCAACATGGCTATCAGGAGAGGCAAGAGGTGACAAACGCCTGAAGGAGGAGTTGGAGGGCTTAGTGATCACAGGGTCATTGTCATTTTCATCTAGTACATTGATGGTAACACCCACATATGAAGATCTGGGTGGTTCTCCTGCATCCACTGCTTTTAATCGGAATGTGTAGCTACTTTCTTTCTCTCTGTCAAATGAGATGCTTGAGAGAATAGTGCCTGTGCCGTTTTGAACTACAAACTTCCCGCTATCAGGTTCCACCGACAGGTGAACCCGAGCATTCTCACCTTTGTCCATATCTTGCACGGTCACCATGCCAACTGGACTAAGAGGAGGCATGTTTTCTAGTACTGAAAAGCTGTAGCCACTAAGCATGAACTTGGGGTCATTGTCATTGCGGTCGTGAACTTTTACAACAACAGTTGCTGTTCCTTTATGAACAGGTGAGCCTTTATCCGCTGCAGTGACTCGGAACTCATACCGCTCCTTGTGTTCACGATCTAGAGGGGTTCGAGCTCTTACTTCCCCGGTGTTCGGGTCGATCTCAAACAACCCTTTAATGAATGAATCTGCCACAATGTTATAGAAGAGTTCCGCATTAGTGCCACTGTCTGCATCTGAAGCAGTGACATCTAAAACCTTCTCCCCTGGTTGGTTCTCCTCAGCAAAATCTACCTCAAACAAGGTTGGGGAAAATATTGGGGAGTTGTCATTTACATCAGTCACCTGCACCTTTAAGGAGTTTGTACTAGAAAGGGCTGGGTTTCCAGAATCTACGGCAACAATTTCCACTCTATAATCTCTGACTCTTTCGAAGTCAAGAGGAGTGGTTGTCTGTAGAAAATATTTCCTTTTGTTGTCAGTAGTCGAGTCACCGGCAGGGCGAAGCTGAAAGGGCACATCACCTGCTACGACGCAAGTAACCACGGCATTCTCTCCTTCATCTTTGTCAGACACTTGCACCAAAGCCACAGCTGTCCCCACTGGCATGTCCTCTGAAATATTAGCCACCCCTTCACTGTGCGTCACAAGACCAATTCCACGAATCTCCACAGCGGGAGCGTTGTCATTTTGATCAGTCACCTCAATGGTAACAAATGTCTTGGAGCTTTTAGGCTGAGGACCCTTATCCCTTGCCACGACATAGAAGGACAAGCTGTTGATTTCCTCCCTGTCCAGTGGTCCTTTGACATAGATAATACCTGTGGGCCGATCAATCTGTAGGAGTCTTGGCACTGGGTCTACCGCTTGGTGAAGGGTGTATTCAATTTCTCCATTAGAGCCCATGTCAGAGTCGTTTGCTTTGACCTACAAACAAACCAGAGTATGTTATTAAAGCCATGAACTACATGAAGCAAAATGGGCTTGAACCTTAAAAAGGGGGGTATAGAAATGCTTTGACTAATAATTGCTCATTAATGAATAAATTAGTAGATCATGGAGGAAGGAGGGGGTCTTGATTGCTTCAAAGCACAGCATGGGCACTTTATTTTGAAACATTTCCTTTTGCCTCTCTGCTTTTGATGGTTATTACAGCTGTTTTTCCTCATTTTGTATTAACAAGCAAACATATTAGAGAGTACGACATTTGGGCCACAATGGCCTTTAAGATACTCTGGAAGGATTTCAAAACAAAATGTTTAACGCCTACACCAAGTCTGTGTTACTCATACTGTTTCCTTCTGCAAGTATAACACAAGAAGTAATAAACAGCTTAATTAACAGTCAAACTATATTATGCTAAAACTCTAATGCATTAAGTATGGATGAAACATCGTTTAATGAAGAGAATGCAACTTGGATTTCACATCCCTTCAGAAACAAAACAAGTGTGGCTTTTGTTTTCACAAAACTTCCTCCCACTGCCCTAGAGAGTAAACTAAAAGCATCTGCAGTAGTAAGACTATTTTTAACTCTTCACAAAGCCAATAGCAGGTTGAAAATATCTTCAAGTGGGTTTACTATCTCAAGCCTAAACGTTTAGGAATGTAGTAAAGCTCAGCAAACAAACTAGATGAATTGTGAATTTAATCCCAATGGAAAATGTTTGCAAAATAATATAAATTAACTCAGTTTGTTTTATAATAATAAACAGATATATTTAGCTTTTCATAACAATAAAAAATAAAGCCCAGTAAACAGTGAAACTCTTGGGAGAATATATAATATAAATATAAGTAGTCTATGATTAGGAGGTACATAGGGAGCCTCTTCACCCTTCTCGTTTTTGAGATTTTTTACAACAGCCTGAATTTGAATGTTGGCTAAATACTTTCGGAATGTTATTCTTATTATTTACTTTTACCAATATTGTTTTTCTAGCTAAATTTTGTAAGAATGTTTAACGGTGTGTGTGTGTGTGTGTGTGTGTGTGTGTGTGTGTGTGTGTGTGTGTGTGTGCGTGTGCGTATGCGTGTGTGTGATAAGTGCCCCGTAAGACCCAAAGAAAACGTTTCTCTGTAATTTGTAATTGCTTGGTTTAAAGATCTAGTTCACTCATATTTTCAATACATTTGTAAGTCGTTCTCTGGGAAAACAAAACAAAACAAAACAAAAATCTCTGGTGCACCTTTTCAAGAAACTAGATGTTAGCTGGAGGAGAGGGTTATAGAAGGATTTGGAGTCTTATTTCCTGATATTTGGACATCTTGTCTCTGATTGGCTAAGAGCAATGTGACTCTACCACCAGTGTCATGCCTGAAGAAGTTAATTGAACAATCATTTGAGAACCTGTTCGTTTTCTTTGTGAATGTGAACTGAACTTGCTCATATTTCACCTGATGAACGTTAAAGTATGTGGAATCGTTATGAATGGCGTTCCCTCGTAGTTCAAGAACTCTGTCCAATCACCTTGGAGCTAAAGCCTTAGCTAAAATATCCTGTTAACCATATAATTTATAAAAACTACACCCCGCAAACTCAGCTGCCATATGCAGTAGCAGTTGGTGTAGTGTCTACTCTTCAATGTCTATGCTGTGGAGGACAGACAATATGGTGCATTTCATTTACCTCGGAAAATATACAACTGCACATGACATCAACTTTAGATGCACCCTTACGAGTTTATCTTGTAACATAAACACGTTTCCACCACAACTACTATTGTTAACGCATGGTGCTGCTTTATTGAACCTCAAAAGTGGATTAAAAACATTCTCTGACTTTGGAGGTATTCTAGTTTGTTATTTCTACTTGGAAGCTGGAGATTCCAAGTAAGGAAAGAATTGGAATGAACCAGGAAAGAATCATATCAGAAAACACTAATCGCTCTGTCAGGCATTTGGGAACTGGGCATTTTTCTATCTATTTTCTATCAGTAGCTAATGCAGGAAATGGGTAGAACACGATTTTCATGTCCAGCCTACATAATAAACTCAGAGTGACTGGCCATTTTCAAAAATCAGGTGAAAAATGGTTTCTCGGTGAACTCGGTCGTAAAAATGTTATGTTCTTGAGATTTTCCTTTTGGCACTAACCTTAAGGGCTCACCACAGATAATCATTTTGTTCCATTTAACCCCATCTTCTACTAGTTTAACATACAATATGCATTTGATTATAATCTTACCTGTAAAATGGAGTGCCCCTTTGGACTGTTCTCAGAAACTTCTGCCTCATATGTAGACTTTTCAAACTTGGGGGCATTATCATTAGCATCGGTCACTACCACTCGAAGCAAAGCACTGCTGTAGCGCTGAGGGTTCCCTCCATCCACCGCCTTGATGGTGAGATCATAAGAATCCTTTAACTCACGATCCAGGTTGCCAAGGACAATGAGCTGTGGGAGTTTCCCTCCCCTGTCGTTAGCCACTTGTAAACCAAACAGGGTTGCTGCATCTGGCCCTGCCGTCAACGCATAGTCAGCCACTCCATTCCTCTCTGAATCCCTGTCTGTGGCAAGAGGTATAGAGAACAACGCCCCCATGATTGTGTTCTCAGGTACCGAGATGGTGAGCACAGAAGTCGGAAATTGTGGGGTGTTGTCATTGATGTCCTGCACTTCAATCCGTCCTTCGATAAGTCGTGGGCTCTGGTTTTGTATCAGATCTGTAACTGATACCTCAAATTCCAAGTAGCAGGGTTTGCCTTTATTCACTGACCGACAGTCCCTAAGGGTTTCTCTGTCGATGGGAATCTCTGTGGTGAAAATTTCTCCTGTCTTCCCATCAACACGGAGATAGGGGGCGCCCACCTCCAGCTTGTAGAGGTGACCTGAATCCGGCAGTCCCTGGTCAGCCGCCAGGCTACCGATAAGAGTGTTGGGGGGCTGCTCCTCCTGGACTCGGTAGAGGATGCTGCCTTCAACAGAGCCACAGTGCAGCACCGCAACCCAAAACAGTACTGCTTGAAAAATCTGTTCCATTAGGTCATCAGAAGATCTGCCTGAAATGACAGAGAGAATTCAGGTCAGCAAGATGATGATGTTGATTATTCTTTTTAGAAATCACTCTTCAGGATTCTTCCAAAACCCACTTCCCAAATGTAGCAAGTCCCGCAGAAAGATAATTACATATTTCACTTTAACAGGAAAACCATACAACCAGCATCAGCATCTTTTACAGAGCACAGTTTAATATTTAGTCAGCGGGGAAATGAGGGAAGAAAATCATTCGATTGCAGGCTTGTTGCTGTACAGTTGTAAAATTATTTATTTTTCTTAATACTTTGTACAAAACCTAAGTAAGCCTTGAGGCAATGGGATAAAAAAGAGGTGCAATATTTTTTGGGCTCATCAAAATGCAATAACACCCATGTTGCAGCATGTTATATTTTTCCCCTCAATGTTTCAGGAGTTTCAATTAAAGTCTCTGCTTTATGAATTTTATGTAGAAAGTTAATGTCAAAACATAACATTATCTCGTGAGTTCACATATAAAACAAACCGAAAGGCCAGTGTGGATTGTTTCAGCTGAATAATCAAATGAAAATGTAATACAAAATCTCCCAACCAAAGACACTCATTATTTCTGTATTATACTATCAGATACTGAAAGTGGAGGCTCCGCAAATCTATGTGTGTGTGTGTGTGTGTGTGTGTGTGTGTGTGTGTGTGTGTGTGTGTGTGTGTGTGTGTGTGTGTTATCCGTAATTGAAACAGAAGCAAAACACGGAGGTTAAGCATCACGCTCTGGTGCTTTTGAAAACTTAATGGTGGAAACACTTTTGAACTTTTGCGTGTGTTGTGCACGGGGGAGTGCACTTGCTATCATGTACTGTTCAGTTTGATGCTATCAGTACAATTGTGTGTGTGTGTGTGTGTGTGTGTGTGTGTGTGTGTGTGTGTGTGTGTGTGTGTGTGTGTGTGTGTGTGTGTGTGTGTGTGTGTGTGTGTATCACAGTGGGTTTTTGTTGCACTGTTTGTATAAACTGATCAATACTTGCTCTTATGGCTCAGGGATTAGTCAGACTAGACCAATCCATGGTCAATAGTGTGTCAGAGCCACTGTCCTAATAGAATAATTCACTTTTATTTATTTATTTATTATTTTTGTTTTAAATAAAAACTAAACTTATTACAGTGTTTTAAGGAATATCAGCGAATTAACATCTACAATTTGAATAACAACTGATGTGTAAAGCTGTGTAATAGAATTAAATGACTGTTTAAAAGTTTATTCTTCATTCTTCTGTTGAGCTGAAAATAAGCAGGTTAGAAGGAATGCACGAGACCTTGAGACTATCTCTCATGCAGACTAGTCCCAAGCAAAGAGCGGAAAAATAAGACTCATTCCAGTCCGTTACACTGTGATAAAATGTAAGCGATACGTCTTTTTTTTTCTCTTTTTTTTTTTTTTGTTAAGCACGCCCCCTGCCCCACAGAGCTCTGTGCAATAGGAAACTGAGCGCCGACCAGACCCAACCATTAGCGTTAGACTACTGCTTACTTGCTTCAAATTTAAGGAATACCTCGGCTGATGCAGAGTTGATCAGCTTTTCACGAACAATTAAGTCTCTAAAATATAAATATATGAGAACACAACATGACATGAGAATAATACTCGTAAAACAATGTGTTTTAGCTCTGTTTGTCAGCTACAGAGGCACATTTATAAACAGAAACGTGAAGTTGCTATCTTAAAAAAAACAGAGGAACAGAGTTTTTGTGTGATATGCTTGTCAGCCACTAGATGGTGTCATCAGATAAGAGGAATACTTCGGAAAGAATCTTTAAATGAAAAACTGCACTACTTGAAACCCTTGAAAATTAAACACAAATAGAAAACTATTAAAATGCTCAGGCTGAAGTTCACCCAGAACTTGGCGATTAAAAAGACAAATTAACAATTTTAGCTTGTTTTTGATAAAAACAAATTAAGAGTAAATCTAATTCTCCACCTACAATTGCAAAAGGATGTTCCAAAAGGAAAGCATGTGTCAGACAGCAGAACACAAGAATAAAGAAATCTCATATGAATGCATTAAAACTGCAAGTGCTGGTTATTGATGCACTAATTGCTCCGTTATTGATGTGGCCGCTTTTACATTTGCAAGGGGAACCTCTCGTCAGTGCTGCGTGAATGGTGAGACCACTTGTGTGTGTGTTCACAGTCGAGCCGAATGAAACCTTCTTGTATCACAACCAACCATTAATGAGGAAATGTTATCAATTGTTTTAACATTTATTAATTCAATTTACTCTTATTCTATTAAACAGACATGTTTGCAGGAAGTTATTTTAAATAAAAATGTAGATAGGTGCATAATCAGTCACACTGAAGTGCAAAATTAATTCTCTGCATTGTTAACGGAAGTTACGGTGTAACTATGGTTCAGTGAGTTCCTGGATGACTGCCAGTAGCAGTAAACAGAGTGGATGTATCTCTTCGAGCTCTGCGCAGGTCGAGTACTAATGTAAACAAAGTCACGCACGTGACACGTAGCGCACCTGGTCGCGAGTCTATAAATTACGCGCCGATAGCTACGTTCGGGTCTCCCGGGATCTTCTCGCCTGAGAAGTTCCGAGTGACCCCTGTGACTGGCAGTCATCCAGGAACTCACAGAACCATAGTTACACCGTAACTTCCATTCTGTTTCGTTCCCTCCTGACTGCCAGTGGCAGTAAACAGAGGGGATGACTTATGCCAGCAGTGTCACGAGGAACGTAAATCCTACCTTCACTCAGGAGGTAGCTGCCAGAGGCAACACCACCGAAGCGAGCATGGACCCGTGGCCAACGTTGAGGCGGTAGAAGCATGCAAATGTGCACGGAGTTGCCCAGGACGCGGCCGCACAGACGTCCGCCGCCGCACAGACGTCCGCCTGTGGCACGCCTCTCATCGCCGCCCAGGATGTAGTAACACTCCTTGTGTAATGGCACACGATCCCAGGGGGAGCAACTGCACCCACTGCCGCATAAGCCATCGCAATGGCATCCACGGCCTAATGCGACAGCCTCTGCTTCGAAAGGGCTCGACCCCTGTTCACTCCTCCGTGACAGACAAACAGCTGGTTCGACTGCCGGACAGTGTTTGTGGCCACAATATAGAGCTGCAGTGCCCGGATCGGGCACAGCAAATTCACCTGCCGTTGTTCCTCCGAATGAAATGGGGGAGGGAAATGCGCCCCCAGCTCGATTGTGGCATTTACATAGCCAGAGGGCAGAACTTTGGGAAGAAAGGCAACGTTGGGCCACAGCATCACCCCCGACCCATCTAACTTCCACCGCAGGCAGGCAGGGCTGATGTCCAGTGTGTGCAGCTCACTGACCCGTTTAGCCGTTGTCACTGCCAAGAGAAAGTCAGATTTCACAGACACCACTTCCACGGGGCGGTAGTCATCGGCTCAAAGGGTGGCCCACACAGGGCCTGCAGGACCAGGGGAAGGTCCCAAGCAGGTGCCGGCCTGCACAAGGGAGGACGCAACCTTCTCACCCCCTGCAGAAACTGGGTCACCAAATGGTGAGCCCCAACGCTCCTGCCATCCACTAAGAGTTGGTTGGCCGAAATAGCCGCCAGGTGTACCTTAAGGGTCGAGGCAACCCGGCCCTTGTCAAACAGGTGCCGGAGGTACCGCAGAACCTCATGCAGGGAACAAGAATCAGGGTCCGCGTCCCTGCCGGAGTACCAGGTAGAGAACCGCTGCCAACAGCGAGCGTACGTGGCCCTTGTAGATGGAGCCCTGGCACTATCCAGCACCTGCTGGATGGAGGGCTCTAAGCCGACTGGGGTCTGCCTGCACCCCTCAATGGCCACACTGTGAGCCAAAGATGATCCGGGGATGGATGCCAAATCCTCCCCTCCAGGAGGTCCCGTCTCGCCGGCAACCGCCACGGCTCCCCGTTCAACAGACTGAGAAGCAATGGAAACCAGACCCTCATGGGCCAGTCTGGTGCCAACAGAAGGACCACGTGTGAGGAGTCCCTCGCCCGATGGAGGGTCGGTAAGATCAACGGGAAAGGCGGGAAAGCGTACAGCCGAACCAACGGCCAGGCATTGACGAGGGTGTCCATCCCCAGCGGGGTGTCGGCCTCTGCCAGGGAGAACCACAAGGGGCAATGTGTGCTGCTCCTCGAGGCGAACAGATCCACCTGGGCTTCTCGGAACTGATGCCACACCCTCTGCACCACCTGAGGGTGCAACCTCCATTCCCTCGGGGGAAGACCCCGCCGAGACAGGCAATCTGCCACAGAGTCCCTCCACCCCGGAAGGTGCAGTGCCCTGATGGAGGCCAAGCGAGAGTAAGCCCAGGTCAACAACATCTGAGCCTCCCTCAATGATTGCAATGACCTGGTGCCCCCCTGATGGTTTATGTGGAACACCGCCAAGGTGCTGTCCGTCCGGACGAGCACGTGCTTGTCCCGCAGAAAGGGCAAGAAGCGCCTCAGCGCCAAGTAGACGGTCATCAATTCCAGGACATTGATGTGAAGCCGTGCCTGACGGGAGCTCCACAACCCCCGGACTGACCTGCACTACCAATGCGCCCACCCCCGGGATGATGCATCGGTCTTGACCACCTCCCGTCTGGTGGGGACCGCGCCAAGCGGGACACCGAGACTCTGGTAGGTGACATCGTCCCAACGACGCAAAAGAGCCACACAGCTGCTCGTGACCTCCAGCTCGACCCGTCGGTGTCGCTGGGGATCCAGGCGGAAGCTGTTGAACCTCTTCTGCAAGGGCCGAAGGTGGAGCAGCCCGAGAGGCACGAGTGCAGAAGCCGAGACCAGCATCCCCAACAAATTATGTAACATAAGCTTCCTTCATCATGTTTCCACTGGTAAGTCCCCTAAAATGCCATGGCAGCACGGTAACTAGTAACGATAACGAGTTACTTTTGGCACGGTAGCTAGAAACATTTACTAGTTACTAATAAAAGTAACTAGTTACAGTTACTAGTTACCGTGCAGCATGGGTGCTTTGCCTAGAAATCTAGACAGACAGAAGGGA